CTGCTGTGCACTGGGAGTGTGACTGACAGCACTGTAAAGCCAGGAGTGGACCAGACTGCTGTGCACTGGGAGTCGCACTGTAGTGGATCAAACGGCTGTGCACTGAGATTCTGTGGTTTCTATGAAGTAAATACACCCACAAAAATCTAGCTCAGGGCTAGAGTATGGGGGCGTGAGTGGAGCTGCAGTTTAATTACATGTCGATGAGTGGAATTCTTCCTCCTTCCATCTTGCTGCTAAACCGAGATCTCCAGAACCCCAGCCCCTCCTAGCCCTCATCGCCCTCTGACCTCTGCGTTTCACCTTCCTTACCCCTGAGGGTGGAAGTGGTGGCAGTTGCCTTATCTCCAGGCAGCTGGCTGTCTTGCTGGGTGTGTGTTTTGCGTAAACGTGTGCACGCAGCCTGGCGAGCAGACTGTCGGTACGGGCTCGGGAGTCGGTCTCCGTGCTCGTGTCTGTGCTCCCATGGAGCTGGAGGTGCCCAGATAACGAGAGCTGCTGTGCTTGTCTTCCTTGGGGATCCAGCTGTCAATCATGAACCTGTTTTCAAGAGAGAAGGAAGCTGAGCCCGGTGTTGCTATAGATAATCATCAGCCTCATGCTTGAACCAGGCTCCTGGGCAGTCCTTCTGGTTCCCTGTGTCTTAGCAGTCGGATTCACTACAAGTTTTACAAGTTTTACCTGCTGCAAGGATGGGTCTTTAAACCTCTTACTTTACTGTAAGATAACATTTTTGTATCTTTAATTTCACTCGAAGTCCATATGCATTTTTCTGGATTATACAAGTGTGTACATTTCGCAAGAGTTATTAAGGTGATCAAACCACCTTGAATTTAAGGTCTGTGCTATGGAGGGCAGACATGTGCACGTGCCACAGACTCGCTGTCCCCTCAGCGCTTTGTCAGGTGCTTTGCCCTGACCCTCTCAGATTCAAATTCAAAGAGCTTTATTGCCAGGACTGATTAATTGTCGAAGATGATACAAATAATACAATATTTATAGTGCAAACATATTATACGACGTTTTCAGACATCACATACAACGTTATTGAGAGACGGGCTCACTGTCTGTCCTCAGGCTGTGACAGGAGATCACACACACTGGGCTGGATCTCTATTGAGTTTCCTCTCCCAGTGGGATCGGAAGCTGATTCTAACAGGTGTGGGAATTGTGGTATTGGAATTGTTATTTTAAGGGAGAATAACTGTCTAATCCCAGAGTATTTCTCACAGTGCAGCAGAAAGTGTATCTCTGTCCCTGCTGCTCCCTGCTGGCAGTGAGAACACAGCCTGTCCTCTCTGGACAGTCAGGTCTGTCTGTGTCACACAGTTTCTATGCCCAGGCTATGGTCACTGAGCCTGTCCTCTTTGGACACTCAGGTCTGTCTGTGTCCAGTTTTTATGTCCAGGCTATGGTCACTGAGCCTGTCCTCTCTGGATAGTCAGGTCTGTCTGTGTCCGGTTTCTATGTCCAGGCTATGGTCACTGAGCCAGCACTTCACAGGGTCTGTATCTCTTTGCTGTTTCTTATCCTGGTCAGATACTCAGCTAGAGTGTATTGCCTTCTTAGGGCCCAGTTTATGTTGTGTTTGTGTGTGTGTCCCAGTGGATGAGGTAGTGTTGTTTGGCTTGTGCTGTTGTTTGGTTTATTTTGATCCATGATGTTCTAGCTGTGCTGTCCTGAGGTTGGTTGGTGTCAGTGAGCTTCAGGACCAGCTGCCTGAGGGGGCTCTTCTCTGGGCTCAGCTCTTGGCTCAGCAGGACCCTGTGGTGGTAGGAGCTCTGGTCAGTGTGTTTCAAGTATTTTATTTTATAGCTCTATTCTGTATGCTGATTAGTAATGGATATTGGCCTAATAAAGCCGTGCAGACATAGTTAGGTGTTTTTCTCTGTACATGGAGAATGTTTTTACAGAACTCTGTGTGCAGGTCTTCCATGGGATCTTTTAGGGGGGGTCTTTGTCCCATTTAGTGTAATCCTGGCCTGTGAGTGGACCCTTGAGTAGATGTAGCTGCTATATAGGTTGTATTAAACTTTCATATGTCCTCAGCCAGATGTTTGTGGCAGCATTGATATCAGAGAGCCTCATTCTAATCTGAAGGAGAAAGCCCAGCGCCTGACGGTGCTCTCGGTGTCAGTGATGGGGGTGACCCCTGACCCTGTCTCTCTGTCTCTCTCAGGCTGTAGAGATGGCGCTCCTGGTGTCAATCATGGAGTCTCAGTGAGTCGCGGGCTGGGCAGCCCGGCCCAGAGGGGCGGAGCCAGCGCCACGCTCGCCAACGCACGCACGCACGGACCGCCCAACGCTTCCCCCGCCTCCCCCCCACCCCGCCGCCCGTCGCCATGGTGACCCTCATCACCAAACAGCTGCAGAAACAGAGTCTGGACGACCACACCTACCACAGAGCCTTCACCCTCAACCTGGTGAGGGAGCCCACTGCTGTCCCGTCTGTGTCCGTTCCGTCATGTGTGGGTCCGGGTCTCCGGACCTCTTCTGTTCCGCTGTCCCCCTGTGTGAAAGTGCGGCCCGATGGCCCTGATGTCGCTCAGATATGTGTGGTCTGATCCCGTGGAGACCTGTATCTCTGTTTCAGCTGTACGGCCGTGCTGGGGAGCACTCGGGTCCTGAGCTGTGATCTGTGGGCTGACTGCCTGTGTCTGTGTGTTTCAGTCAGTGCCTGAGCCCCCTGGCCACGCAGGCTGCTGGACCACCTATGGATTGACGCCAGGTAGGGGTCACCTTGGTAACCGCATCCCTCTTTGTCCTGGGTTTGACAGTGTAATAGCCCCCTACCACACATTCGGGTTCGACTCTGGGTGCTGACGGTTAGACAGGACGACACTCAGCTCCTTTTTTCTCCTCCCCCTTTGAAAAAATCCATTCCGACGTTTCTGGATTTCCAGCTGATATTGGAGGAGCTCCTTATTTTCGCCGTTGGCTTTTGAAGGATGTGGGCTTTTGAAGGATCCCTAGGGCTTTCAGGGTGCAGGGTCCAGACATCGTAATTGTGTCCTTGGTATCTGGTGTCCTCAGAGGCAGCCAGGGTGGGGACTGGGACCGGGACTGGGGACCCCTGCTGCAGACACCCTGACCCTCCAGGACTGGGGGACCCCTGCTGCAGACACCCTGACCCACCAGGACTGGGGGACCCCTCCTGCAGGCACACTGACGCTCCAGGACCAGGACTGGGGGACCCCTCCTGCAGACACCCTGACGCTACAGGACCAGGACTGGGGACCCCTGCTGCACACCCTGACCCACCAGGACTGGGGGACCCCTGCTGCAGGCACACTGACGCTCCAGGACCAGGACTGGGGGACCCCTCCTGCAGACACCCTGACCCTACAGGACCAGGACTGGGAACCCCTGCTGCACACCCTGACCCTCTAGGACTGGGGACCCCTGCTGTAGACACACTGATCCTCCAGGACCAGGACTGGGGGACCCCTCCTGCAGACACCCTGACCCTACAGGACCAGGACTGGG